GTGCATTCATACCATAAAGATTAATCCTGAACATAACTGGCATGTAGTAAAAAGTTTCGAAACCAGTACCACCTGGCAACTTGTGTCAATGAGATGCAAGAGTGATAGTTACAATGGACACAGCAAACTGGACTGCAATGTTTTGGCACTTATGTGAAATCATATGTTAGCCAACAATTTTAACAAGGCTGGTTATATTTTAACCATAAAAACTACAAATTCGATCAGTTTCACATTAAAACTTTCATTACACTTTACAACAACGATCCTTATGGGATGTCTAACTAATGCACCCACTCACGGTGGAGATTTCTGTCAACATTAGCCGGAGAATGGAACATGGGGGTCATGGCAAATGCTTGACGCCGCACTAACATCGAACTTGACATCACAGATTTTCCATTGCAGTACAAAGCCAAGTTTCAGGAGGCTTTAAAAAGAATACTGAGAGTATAACAACACAAATGATATCCCTTTGGAAGTGGGGTTTCATAGGAAGAATCAACATTCTCTTCTAAATATGTCAACAGCCAGACGTCACTGAATTATGTAACTCATTAGCAGCAGCTGGTGATGAGAATGTCGTATCTAAAAAAAAATAATAATAATAAACGTCACGTGGAACATAAAAGGGGAAAATAATCAATACCAACGCCATTAAAAATCAGTATCAAATAGGAACACTTTACACACTTGACACAAAGCATGGTCCTCCGAGTCCGAAGTCCAGCTCTCCCCTTTTTCCTATCCTTATTCCACTTCTTCCTCCATAACCTTTTTAGAACCACGGCGAACCACGCAGAATAACCCGGCGAACCACACACACAGCAAACAACAAACACAAACAGATAAAAAATAACTTATCGGTTCTTGAAGGAGGAGGAGGAGGACACCTTAAAGGAACCCCCATTACATCTCTCTCTCCTTTCCAAAGGGCTTCTCCTCTCCTTCCTCGCCCTTTTCCTCCTCCCTCCACTCCTCTCCACTCCCTCCACTCCCTCCACGTCCTCACACCCCCATAAAACACGAGCCTTACCACATAAAATAACAGGTCCTCGCCCTCCGACACTTTCACCGACGAAGCTAAACAACCCTGTGAGGAGTCGGGTCGAGGCGCTGGAAGGATCGGAAACTCGGCCCGCCAGACGCTAACGCCGGGGAGTGCTAGAGGTCGCCATTTTATTAGTATTTTTTGGGATAATGATGATAATAAATGATGATAACTATGATATCAATTGTAATGTTTGTGATAATGATGATGATGATGATAATAATAACAAATGATAATAATAACAAATGATGATAACTATGATATCAATTATAATGCTTGTGATAATGATGATAACAAATGATGATAAAAATGATATCAATTATAATGTTTGTGATAATGATGATGGTAATGATTATAATAACAAATGATGATGTATAATGTTTGTGATAATGATAATAATAACAAATGATGATAACACTGATATCAGTTATAATGTTTGTGATAATGATAAAAATAACAAATGATGATAACTATGATATCAATGATAATGTTTGTGATAATGATGACGATAATGATAATAATGATAGAATAATGATGATTATAATAATAATTGTAATGGTAATGGTAATCATAATCATATATACTTTTTTATTTCTTTACTTTTCTTTCTTTTTTTGTGTCTTCCTTTTCAAAGAATTATTTTTTTCTATCATTGAAGATTCTCTTATGGGAAATCTGTTTGCTTTTGCGCAGCGCGGATATGTTTTTTTCACTTTTTTTCCGCCTTTCGACATTTCAATATCTTGATTCAAACTGTATTTGTATATCATGATTACATCGCATGTGAATATATCCTGAGTAAACGTTCAAACATTCTTTTTAAGTTACACACAAAGATGATTAAAGATCCCCTGAGAAATATAAGATGGCCAACCCTCATCTGACACACGTATATAATACCGAGAAAACTTCTGACTCATATATATTTTAGGTGAGTTTGATATTGATCTTGCAAAATCTTTCCTACTTATAATACTTTACTACAAAGAAGTATATTTTGCATCAGTCAGTGTCCTTTAGTAATGGCAATATAAAGCTTGTGAAATATAACCTTTTGAATTATTATAAAGATTATATTTATGGTCATTAGCAAAGATAATAATGATTATGAATATAATGATAATGTTAAAAGTAATAGCAGAAAACAGTAACAATGATAATGATAATGAAAATATTAGTAGTAAGAGAAATGATAATCATCATCATCATCATCATTAATAATGATAATAAAAGTAACAATAGTGCCAAAAACTATAATAATAGTTGTTATAATGCTGATAATGATAATAATGATTGTGATAGTGATAATGTTAACAAATAATAATGATAATAATAATAATAGTAATACTAATGATAATGATAATAATAATAATGATAATAATAATAATAATAATAATAATAATAATAATAATAATAATTATAAGACTAGTAAGGATAGTAATAGATTAT